ACAATCTCCACATAAACTATAAATTCTATATGCATAAACTATATATATTCATCTTTATTCAAGCTACAAAAGTTGCTCAGCAAGCAGAGCAGTGAGTGATATCTCTTTTTCTTTTGTATTTTGATTTACATCAATGACAGACTGCAGCAGATTTTACGTTAAAAAAATGTATTATCTTTCCGGCTCAGACTGCATTGGTTAAAGCTTATTGGGCTGTCACGTGATGAACGAACGACTCAAACCCGAAGACTCGAGAGATGAACTAATCAATTCTCTTTCCGGCTCAGACTGCATAGGTTAAGCTTATGGGTCTGTCACGTGTTGAACGAACGACTCGGAAAAACCCGAAGACTCGAGAGATTAACTAATCAATTCTCTTTTTGGCTTAGACTGCATTGGTTAAACTTATGGGTCTGTCACGTGACGAACGAACGACTCGAAGAACCTGAAGACTCGATTTCAGTACACAACCTATAGGATGATGCACAAGCGCGACTGAACGAATCACTCCCCGAGACGACTCGCTCTTCCCGAATCACATTAAAGATTTGTTCAAAATGAACGAATCGTTCAAGAACGACCCATCACTACTAGCCTGTTTTCAGTTAGTGGACGGAACATTGAAGGGCACCTCCCATCCAATAAATCGCAATAAGAATTGTGCTTTGGTACTTTTAATATGAAACAAAGTCTCAGATTTCAAATTCTGTCTGTTGTATTGCAGTATTCAAACAATAAATGCCGTTTTGGCGCTCTTTAATGTGGAGTGACAGATCGCTGTAGCACCTCAGTTCACCAGATGCAGCAGCGCGAGGTGCACGTGAACTGATCATCTCCTCCAAATTAATACCAGTTTCAGCACAAAATAATCATGACTAAACATCCGAAGGTAAGTTAAAAGAAAGAGTACAACTTTACAATCCGTATCCTGTCTCATGTAATCGCTCAATCAGTGTTTCAGCCGCGCAAATACGTCAATATAACAGCTTGTAATCAATGTCACGTAACGTCACATTTGCCTCAGAAAAACATATTCGGTGACCATAAAGTCATTAGTCAGATAGAAAAATAAACTCTAGAGAGGGGCATTTTGCTAAATATATGCACCATATAACATATTCATTATAAATTTTACTGTCCTTCAATGTTTAATTTATGTTTGAATAAATCCATTAAGATTTTATGACAGCCACCATTATGTTTATATTTAAAAAAAACAAATTGAAGTAGAAATATTATGTAATTGTAACTTTGTTATTTAAAAAACTTAATTAAGTGAAATTTTAACAAATCCTTTAATTTTAACCTTCAATATTATAGTAATGTAGCACGAACTGACTCTCGTGTATATTTTACAGCATTATTTTAGATTTTTTTCCTTGAGAAAATTTGGCATGTACTGTCCCTGATATATATCCAAAATAATCGATATTGAATCGAATCGGTAATCGAATCACAACCTTGTGAATGACAATCTAAGCGAATCCTGAAATTTGTGTCAAAACCCAGCTCTACTAACTAATAACTCTCAAAAACACAATCACATACATACATGCTGCCCACATATTATTGTAGCACAGTTTGTGCTGATTATGGTGCTACAAAACTTAGCCATTAAAATGTTTATAAGCAACTGAAAAAAGCACAAATGTCAGGGCATGTCAAAAATTCTCCAGGGCCCTAAAACACCCTCGGACCCCAGAGGGTTAAATAAAACATGAAAAAAATCTGGCAGTGTAAATAAAATGGATAAAACTGCCTTTTTTAAATGGCACCGAAACAATGAATGAATGGAACACAAAGGAAAAATCTATAAGGACGGGGGGGAAAAAAAACTAGCAGGCAAAGTCAAAGTTACTATAAAAATCCTTGTATCAAGTAAAGTAAAGACCATGAGTAAAGTCTATAATACTTGGAAAAGGTGAATTTCTAAAGTCACCTGATATGGCACTACTTGTATTCGGTGCCTTTTGTGTCACCAGTAAAGATCATGATCTTACTGCCTTAAAGGGGTGGTTCACTGGGTTTTTTCTAGGCTTGATTGTGTTTATGGGGTGCAGTCTACCATGTGTTAATGCTTCGTAAAAAAAAAAAATATATATATATTTTTCACATAATTTATCTTTATTCCACACTTCTCTGAGAAATACCCTGATCATTTCCTTCTTTTATGAAGCCC